TTTATTGTTCGCTCCTACTATAGTCTTCCACAAACCTGTAGATGGTTTCTTCTTTTTCCACGCAGCTGAGTTTTTCAATACGCTCATCCACGCCATGGACCTTCCCCAACTGAGACAGTTCCCATATAATTATTACATGAACCCTTGTGCAAGAAGCCTCTAATGTATATTGCATGTTGACTACCTAAATTTATTCCCTCCTTACTCAAGAGCCCACCGATGATCTGATCAACTTATTTGTGGAATATCAAAGTTTGATCCGCGAGATGTAAGCTTTGCAAGGTTAGATGGGCCTACTAAACTCTGACATTGCTCTGCCTAGCCTTCACGATCTACTTGTACTGATTGGAATCGACTTGTTTCGAGCAAAGCCGATCGTGTATAGCCTCAGCGATGCCAATCTGTCAGGACTTTAGAGCCTAAAGACACCATCGGGTGGTGTATAAAGACCTATTTGTATTCGAGATTGAAGCAGCTCGATGCTAAAGAACAAGATCCAGGATGGAAAATAAGCACTATCCGCTCCTCTTGTCCTTCTCCCTTCTCAACCCGAAATCACCACGTACACCTCATTTATAGCCCGTGAAACAAACCTTCCTCGGCATCAGATCACAAATTTGTTCATCGTAATCAACAAGCATCCTATCAAAGCAAGTTCTCTTCTACTACCAACAAGGTGGTCGCTTTCACCCGGCTGACTGATCACCCATTTTCCAGAAATCACAACAATGACCTAGTCCAGAGTTACTGAGTTGTGACTCCCGAGTTCGGATTCGCACATTCCGCCTTGAAATCCGCAACGGACATCATCCTACAGTCTGGGGAATAGAGAGAATAGAGACATATGAATCAATCAACGAATCTCAGACTATAAAGCCAGATGGCCGGAGACATTCTCTATGGTGAAATTAGTATAAGAGCAACCCATGACAGTTGATGAAATTCGAGATCCTGCAGTCCTCCCAACTGTTTGACGAGACGCTCGCGTCCCACTGCCAACCTTACCATATACTATGAGGCGTGGTCAAACGTCTGGGCCCTAGGTGACGGCGATGGAAAACGACTGCGAGACCCAAAATAGACAGCGCAGCGGCGACCCCCGCCAGAGAATGAATGAGCAGTCTTCATTTCCTACTGTCGGGGACCCTTGTAGTGGTGGTTGTCTTAGCCTTGGCTTGGGTCTTCGTGGTGTGCCGGTAGGAAAGTGCAGTTGGGTATCGAGGATGAATTTGATCTCACAGATCCTGCTGTCCCTGATCTGCAAGTGGGGTGGGTAGTAAAAAGGACAAAAGTGAAAGTCAGTTTAGTCAAATTTCGAGTTTGAAGTGGAATCAATCGTAAATCGGAAGTGAGATTCATCAGTAAATAGTAGACCATGTGTGCTAAAAAGGTATAGAGTAGGGTTGGGAAAGATAGGGCAGCTCAGTGACAAAAACATGGCCGTACATATTCAAGTATCCAGTGTTATTCATAAAATCCTTCCATTTTGGTATCTATGTCATAAAACAAAAAAGGAACATGTCCCTTCTATACATGTAGCAACTCTATCGACCATTTCTCGTACGAAAAAAAGCTTACTGCTTATCGGGGAAGCCGAAGTTGACACCGAAGGGAGGGTAGACAAAGCGCTGGAGCTTGCCCTCGGCCTGGAGACCATCGCTGTACTTGCGAAGGGTAGCCAGATCCTCAGCGTCCAAGAAGATCAAGTCGGCACGGTTAGCCTCAATGCGGGCAGGGGTGACGGACTTGGCCAGGACTGAGGAGCCACGGGCGACTAGGAGGACAATCAGTCAGTACGCTATATCCGGTCTAGTGGGCAAAAGCTTGAAATACTTACTGTGCCAGCTGAGCAGAACAGTAGCCGGAGTAACTCCGCGCTTGTGGGCGACGGCCATGATGGGCTCGGCGCTGAAGAGCGGGCTGCCGGTACTGCCAAGTGGGCTGTAAGCGGTGATGTGAATGCCAGTCTTGTTGCAGAAGTCGACAATCTCCTGCTGGGGGAGCAAGGGGTGGTTCTCAATCTGGTTGACAGCGGGAACAATAGTGGCCTGGGCCAGAAGTTCCTCAAGGAACTTGAGACTGTAGTTCGAGACACCGATGGCCCTGACCTTGCCAGTGCCGATGAGCTTCTCCATACTCTTGTATGTAGTCACATGGGAGTGGCTGTGAATAATGTCCCGTGAGCCATCAGCGAGCTTGGGGAAGATGTTGTGGTTTCCTGTGATGGAAGTCAGCGCCGCGAATCTGCATATTTGAAGAAACTCAACTCACCCTTGGGGTTCATTGCCAGAGGCCAGTGCATCAGATAGAGGTCGACATAGTCGAGTCCGAGGTCTTTCAGACTCTGCTCAAGACCCTCCTCAACACGGGCGTGGAAGGAGCACCACAGCTTAGTGGTCACGAAGAGATCCTCGCGCTTGACAAAGCCGGCGTCAATGGCCTCCTTGATGCCCTGACCGACTTCGTTCTCGTTGCCGTAGCAAAGCGCGGCATCAATGTGACGGTAGCCGACTTTGATGGCGTGGAATACGGCGCGCGCAACCTCGCCGGGCTGGGATTGCCATGTTCCCAGGCCGAGTGCGGGGATCTCGGCTCCAGTATTGAGCTTGAAACGGGTATCGCAGGCAGCCATTGTGAATTTATGGGGGTATCAAGAGAAAAAGAAGATTATTTACACAGAATAAGGGAATATGAACAAATTGAAGTAGAAATGGTCAAGAAAAGTCCTGGGGAAAGGCGGGGGTTTACAAAGGATAACAACCCCCACACGGCTATCGGGGTTATTCCGTTCCTCCAAGGAAGTCGGGCTTTTTTCCATCAATCACCTCGACCATCTTCTGGGATCTTCGATGTTCTTGGAATATTCTATTGGGAGAGTTCTATATTTTTTCGATCGACCTCGAGGAGAATGAAATTCCCCACACAATAACCGTCAGACCAGAATTCAGGAGAACAAGTCAGCAGATCTGCGGAAACCGTCTTCCAGTTCGACAGATTCCTCTCCGCTTGACATCACAGCCACTCCACATGGTTGGCCTGTGGTCGTGGGGTAATTGCAGCTGCCAATCATCGTCGTCCTTTTGGAGAGCAACCCAGATCTCCATCGGCGCGGAAGCCAGAATCCGTGATGTTTGATTTTTCGTCCTACGTGCGAGTACATCGATGTCATGGCAAATCAGGCAAATGAGGCAAATGGATATGGGGAGAGCCCTCACACAACTGCTGATATCGGAAATCTACACGCGATATTTTGCACATCGGATTTTCCTGGCCTTAACCCTATATATACAGTGGACCTCCTAGTGTCTATTCTTCTTTTGACCCCAGACTTTCCTGATTGTGATTGCAATTCATTTGGCAATCTAAAGCATCTTATATATTATACCAAGAAACACTACTTCGCCCAACACAGTCAAAATGGCACCTGTCGCCGTCTCCCCACAGGCCTCCCCTGTCTTCAAGAAGCGGGATGGCCACGCACTGGAAGAGCTCTCGGATGCTATTGACGAGATCAACGTTCTCAAGGACATGAAGAAGCGTGAGGCTGAAAAGAAAGTGGCCGAAGAGAAGGGTCTATATGACGAGTCCGAGTTTGACAAGGAGAAGGACAAGACCAATTTCCGCCAGTACGAAGATGCCAGCGACCGAGTCAAGAACTTCTACAAAGAGCAGCACACCAAGCAGACCGTCGCCTACAACCTGAAGGCCCGCCACGACTTCCACAGCAAGACTCGTGCCGAGATGACCGTCTGGGAAGCCATGGAGAAGCTTAACACCCTGATCGACGAGTCCGATCCCGACACCAGCCTTTCCCAGATCGACCACCTCCTGCAGTCTGCCGAGGCCATCCGCCGCGACGGCAAGCCCCGCTGGATGCAGCTGACCGGTCTGATTCACGACCTGGGCAAGCTCCTCTTCTTCTTCGATGCTGAAGGCCAATGGGACGTTGTCGGCGATACCTTCCCCGTCGGCTGTGGCTTCGACGATAAAATCGTCTACGGCCGCGAGTCGTTCCGCGATAACGAGGACTTCGGCCACAAGATCTACGATACTAAGTTTGGTATCTACACACCCGGCTGCGGCCTCGACAATGTGATGCTCTCCTGGGGTCACGATGAGTACCTCTACCATCTCGCTAAGGAGCAGTCGACCCTTCCCGATGAGGCACTCGCTATGATCCGCTATCACTCCTTCTATCCCTGGCACAGCGCCGGTGCGTACCACGAGTTGATGAATGAGCACGACCGTGATATGCTCCGTGCTGTCAAGGCTTTCAACCCTTATGACTTGTACAGCAAGAGTGATGGAATTCCCAGTGTTGAGGAGTTGAAGGTATGTTTTTTCGCTTCTACTGATGATCTGTGAATTTGAGGCTGACTTGTTTCTTTCTAGCCGTACTACCTAGAGCTCATCGATGAGTACTTCCCCACCAAGGTCCTGAAGTGGTAGAGGTCTGCGACTTGCTCTCCTCGCGTCTTTGTTCCACACATTTTTCATGATTCCCCATTTTTTCACTAGTTCTATGAAAATAGCTACGATACTTGCCATCACATTCAATTAGCGTTAAAAACCATACTTTGTCAATCGTTCCAAGCAATCAAACCCAGAAATTACCTGAATAAATTGATAGAGACGAAATTAATCAACTCTTCAACACTATTTTTCACACTTCAAAGTAGTCAAGCTTCATAGTCTAGCGCTCAGCTTTCTCAACTCTTTAATAATCTCACATTACACCACATACAATTTACATTCGTCAGGAGAGGTTACGGAGATGTCAAGATATCAAGGATCGCTACTGGTAAAGGACAACTCACTTACTGCAATTACACAATTTCCCTTCGATATTACCATATCTAGAGTTAGAAGAGTCTACTTTGGACCAAAACACAAGATCGCATCGATATGTAAGTCATGTCATCTTCATTTGGAAAAGTATGTATAAGCGTTGAACGTATATAGGGTATATTTTAAAATGCCCAGGGCACATCACAAATTATTTACAGACTAGCCAACTGCGACCGTTTCCCATCCTCATCGAAGTAAATCTTCTTCTCTGTAACCATGGACTCCTGCAGCGCAGCACCAATGCGAACAGCCTTGACAGCATTCTCAAGATCAAGAGGCAGTGCCGTGTTATCAAGACAGCAAGCCGTGAACTCATTAGCCTCGGTAACAAACGCATACTCGAAGCGATCATAGTAGTTCTGGGGGATCTCCTCTCCGGACGCCGGTCTCATCGTAGATATTAACGTGGTTCATTGCAGGCTGGTTGTTAATCGCCAGCTTTCCCTTGGTGCCGATAATCTCAGTGACATCCTCCTGGCCAGCGGCCATCATGCGGGAAGCATAGAAGTAGGCAATACGGCCATCGTAGAACTCGACCAGGCCGACGGCGTTGTCGCGGTCGTTGTGCTTGCGCAGGTCGGGCTCGACGGCTGTGTTGCCAATCGCCGACACGGACTTCACTTTGCAGTCGTTGCCGAAGAACCAAAGAGTGAGGTCAATGTCGTGGATGGAGCAGTCGACAAAGATGCCGCCGGAGAACTCGGCGTACGCGACAAAGAACCCGCTGGGATCGAGCTTATCGCAGGTCTGGCTGCGGAGTACGGATGCAGTGCCGATTGCTCCTGCCTGCATCTTCTGGTATGCGTCGCGGTAGGACTTGTCGAAGCGTCGGGAGAAGCCGCACATCACCTTAAGGTCTGGCTTCTTGGCTGCTGCGTCGACGACGGTTTGAGACTGTATAAGAGGCAGATTGTTAGTTCTTAGGTTCAATGGTTGGTTCTTTGTATTTGGTAGACTCATTGAGGTTGAGCTGGATTCAAAACACAACTGACTTACCACTTCGGGACTTGTGGAGATAGGCTTCTCGCAAAGAGTGTGCTTGCCTGCTTCAATTGCCTTGATTGCTTGCTCGGCATGCACAGCAGTTGCCGATGCAACCACCACGGCAACCAGACCTTCATGCTTGAGCATGTCGTCGTAGTTCTGGTACAGGGTTACGCCGAAGGGCTCGAGGTGGATTTTGGCCCATTCGAGTTCGACGGGGTCAGGGGAGCTGGCAGCCACAAGCTCAGCTCGGGGAGTACGCTCCAGGAAGTTCAGAGCATGGCGCTTGCCCATACGGCCTAGACCAGCACAGCCGATCTTCAATCTTTGGGTAGCCATTATATATAAAATGTAAAGGTCAAAGAAAGGATATCAAGAAGAAATAAAATCAATAGCTAATAGAGAGGGGATTCTACAACTGGGCGACTCCAAGTTATAAGGCCGAAACTAAATGCGGAGGTCAGTCTCCGACAACTCCGCAAAACGTGGGGTCGGAAAGTGAATTCCACACCGACGAAGTCCTAAAAAAGGACCTCGGGACATAAAAAAAGAGGCTATCAACTCGTGGATTCACTGCCGTCGGCTTTCTTCGATTCCCGTCGCAATCTTCGCTTCGCAATATCCACTGGATCCGCAAATCCATCACCTCTCAGCCAGGTCAAAGCCTTGCGTAGCCCCCCACCCTGCACGGCTTCAGGGTTCCCCTCAAGGATTGACCCCATAAGCGCCCAGGACAGAACAAACAACAATAGTTCCCCGCCCTTGCGGCCCTTCCATAGTCCACGCTTGACCCCGGTCTTGTACGCCGAATCAACAGCGGCCCGGAAGAACCAGAGGAATGTGCTGCGGCTGTTTCCCAGGAACAAGAATGGCAGACCGCCCAGTGCCCCACTGAGGAAGAATCGCTTGGTAGGAAGTGTTGTGCGGGGCAAGTTGTGGTTCAGGAGACAGACACTACCCCAGGCTGAGCCAATTGCAGCAGAGATAACCGCTGTCATGGTGATAATACGCTTCGAAATAGTATTCACTGACGAAATAGGCTGAAACAGAATGCTCTTGAATTTGGGGATTGAAAGCGCCAGAGTGATGGTCGTTAGGAATCGCGCAAGCGGCGGCACGGAGAGGAGAATGTGGTGCAAGAACGCCGTGCTACAGTTCGGGAGCTTAGGGTGCAAGAGAGCGCATGATAGACTTGTGATTGCAGGGTGTGCTGGTCCAGTGATTGGAGAGATGGAAGCCACTGATGATGGCAAGGTGTTGAGATCACCCGGGTGTAGAATTGGAGAAACGAATGCCCTGTGTCATATTAGCGACAATACGCTTTAGCAGAATCAACTTCAAACATACGGCCAGCGGAGATCAGCAATGGAGGCAAGAGAGTTCACAATCTCTTCTTTCTCGGGCCAGGCGATGTTGACCGGAAGCGACTCTGGTCGGCCTTGAATGTAGCTCGGCGAGAGCCTGAAAATGACTTTTCCAAACCACTATGGCATCAAATTAGCGACCGTGACTCAAAAAAGGATTTCCGACCACAAACATTAGGTGTAGTCTCACGATCAAACACGAACGCATGGAAGAGCTGCGCAAACGAGATGGGCATCAACAGCCAGCTGCCGAACCACCACGGGCGCTTATCCAGCCAGCCATTTGAGTCCAGGACATTAAACAAGAACTCCAAGCTTCTGGTGCCTGTGTAAATTGCCGCAGTCAGTCGGAGCTGGTCCTGCGGACAGATGCCTAGCGCGAAACCAGCCAGACTTGCGCCGATCGCTGGCGCAAAGCGCGAGGTCAGCGCCTGCGAGACATGCGGGTTGCGCTCTCTGAATGGCTTTGCATCGTCGGTGCGGAGGTTCGCTCGCAATCGGACGAGGAAGCGGTAGAGGAGGCGATGGATGAGAAGGAGGAGAGAGAGGGAGATGGAGAGACGGAATTTGGGAGACCGGAAGAGGGGCGTTCGAGTCTTTTTCCTGTTGGTTAGAGCGAGCGTTAGTGCATATTCCTAAAAGAGGCCTCTGCGTAGATTAAACCGATCTTACTGTGAGGCGCCTTGGAACCGAGTAATCAACAGATCCGCCAACTTCAACGCGATTCCGGAGCCGACAAAGACTCGCAGCGATGAGCGAATAGCGGCTTCACTGTGTCGATTCTTTGGGCGAGCGATGACATCGTAGCGAGATGGGGATGGGAGTTTGTTTTGGATGGCAGGGGCGCGTCTGACCACTGATTCATGGAGGAATCGGTATTCTTTGGCGCTGAGACATACGCGGAGGACATCGCGTAAGGCGCGAGGTGGAAGGTCCAGCGCCTCCCCTGGGACTGGAGGGTTGTCCGCAGACATGTTGTTGTTGATGCCAAGTTAGAGCATAATCAGGTGAAGTCCGGGGCTGAGAAGGTCGAGTGGTCCGATGCGGAGAAGCCGACCTCGGCAATTCTCACCCGTTGGTCTTGCCTTGCCATGACATTTTAGTTGATTCTGTCGATATCACGGGTTGTAGCTTACTCGCCATGGAAGCTGTTGAGTATCTTGGGGATTGTAGAGGTCCTGACGACCCAGTCGCATTTTGTTTATCTCGTGTCATCTACCGCGAGAGCTTTCCCGCATACAACAACTTTCCGAAGAGGAGGTGAAGATCGAATATTTATACAACACGACTTTGATTCCCACAGACATTCGAATGGATGGTATAACGATAGTATCGGGAAAGCGAAGCCACAGAACGATATGAAGGCCCTACAGGACCTGCAATTCTGGCTAGGAGGCAAGGCTGACGCTTTGCCTCGAGCGAATCCTTGAGGCCAGAATCATCATGAAGCTTTTATGTTTCTCATCCTTCTTGCTATAACACTAAGGCTAACAAGATACTATATTTCTTTTTCTAGGATGAATCTGTCCGATACGCTATATCCCACCATACATGTTATGTTGATGCGAAGTCACAGTATAACTGAGGTCCGGCTCAACACTTAGATGCCACCCTGAATTGAGAACCGGCATAAAGGCATTTTGCACCTTTTCCCAAAAGATCTGCCTCGATATCCATGAGCCGGTTATACTTAGCAACTCTCTCACCCCGGCAGGGGGCCCCAGATTTCAGATGGCCCGTCCTTAAGCCCACGACCAAATCTGCAATGAAATCATCGGTCGTCTCACCAGATCGGTGAGATACAAAAACACTCCAGTCAAAGCTGTAGGCCAAGTTCGCCCTATGAATAATTAGAACATTCTCTCTGGGGGAATCGTAGGGGAAACCTACGCCTCAATTGCTTCGGAAATGGTGCCTATTTGGTTGATTTTGAGCAGCATCGAATTGCACGCCCTCTTTTCGTTGGCCTCCTGCACATATTTCGTATTGGTAACCAGCAAATCATCCCCAACCAGTTCAGCTGGACATTCCTTGTTGAATTCGGTCCAACTGTCCCAATCGGTTTCGGCGAACGGATCTTCAAGTAAAACGATCGGATAATTTTGCAACAATGAGCGATACAGGTCTGTAAGCTGTTTTGAGCTTTGCAAGTTCGGTTTGTCGTCTTTGAACGCAATATCGTAGTTCCCATCCTTGAAGAATTCGCTTGATGCAGGATCAATGGCGAATTTTATTCTGCCGCTATATCCAGCAAGAGAGACGGCTTGAACCAGGAGGTCTAGTGCCTCATGAGGCTGGGAGATCGGTGGTGCAAACCCTCCTTCGTCTCCAATACCGGTAGCTTGAGAGTATCAGTAATGGCTGCATAGGATCCATAGTGAAAGGCGCACTAACCAGATGTTCCAAACTTCTCGACGATGACCTTCTTCAGCTTCTGGTAAACCTCGCAGCCCATTTGTACTGCTTCCGTGAAAGATGATGCTCCAACAGGAGCAATCATAGTCTCTTGAAAAGCCATCTTGTTGCCCGAATGCACACCTCCATTTAGGACATTGAAGAACGGCACTGGCATGACGAATGGTTTTTTCGCTCCAGACTCACGCCGAAGGAACTCGTACAATGGAATCCCCTGATATATATCAGCCATCATGTCGAATCGTCAATCTTAATTATAGCTTACAGCATGTGCTGCACCCGCTCTGGCACATGCCATACTGGCGCCCAAAATGGCATTCGCGCCGAGCTTCGACTTATTTTTCGTACCGTCCAGATGCTTAAGAAGGCAATCAATCATCCTCTGGTCTGTATCAACCTTGAGCCCGCTCTGTACTAGAGCGGGACCAATGACCAGTCGAATGTTCGAAACAGCTTTCTGGACGCCCTGGCCGCCATATGCAGAATTATCCCCATCTCGCAGCTCAATGGCTTCATTCGCACCTGTAGATGCACCAGACGGAACGATGGCTCGAAAGGTACCTGCATCAGTGTAAGAAACGAGTTTAGCTATTGTTGGTGCTCTCTTACCTCTGTCCGTAGTGAGATCAACTTGAACAGTTGGGTGTCCCCGCGAATCCAAGCGCTGGGCAGCTTGGACCGACCTGATCATCGTGAATTCGAAATGACGTAGCGTGGTGAGTTGATGGGTTCAAAGCTTGGATGACCATCGCATGAGAATGTTTTGTTCTTGCTATTCATCACCCAGGTACAGTAAATATTACAATGGCAAGGGGTGACGTAGAGTAGCTATAAATTAACCTGTGACAGGTGATGATGTCAAGCGGATGACGGTTGATTCTCATAGCCAGATCTATAGACCAACACTTTTCTTTATTGTACGCTTCTGACTCCAATGTACTCTCGGGCAATCTGAGCCCATCGCGACGGCTCATTGTAAAATAACTTGGTAAGCAGAATATGGTTGTAATTATTGTAGTTACTAGACAGATCCATAGTATATATACTGTTCGAGCGGAAAGTTTTGCCGCACCTTTCGAATCCATTACGACTTCAAGATGTTCATTTGAAGCAAGCTGCATTGCAGTTTTGTCCAAATTTTTCGCAGGATTGAGGTCTACTGTTTTCTGGAAGTTGTCCCCGAAGATCAGCTTTATAATACATAAATTTCCGAAACGAGCTGTCGCTATCCAGGGTATCTCCTTCTTGTTTGTTCCGATGGTTTATATCAAATCGATTACCCAACTGCAGTAGGCTCACCACAAAGCAGATAATCTCCTTCGGTCCTTTTACTACATAACTCGGATAGAGCAACTCGAACATCGCATCGGTATCCTATCGCGCTTAGCGAAAGGAGTGTATGCCCATAATCAAGTACGATATGCTTGAACAGAATCTGTGCTCAGGTCAGGGGTAACTAGATAAATGCATACCTAACTACTCCGTGCCTATGGAGTCCCCCTAGGCATCTTTATTTATGCATACTAATACATTGTTGTTTCACTGCATATCTAGATATGG